ATACGGACTCCCCTTCATAGAAAAAATGCCTTTACTTTACTCAGTGCTTCTGAGAACATTGTAAAAGAAGTTTGAAGACAGAAACTTGAGCTCAGGATTGCAGTACTGTCGATATCAGATTTGCTTCAGCAGCAAAAAGTCGGATTTTTTCCTCAATGCTCACGTCAAAAAGCATCCAGAAGATAGATGAAACCCCGTCCCTTCCGATCCAACTGAGAAACTGCAGAATTTCTTACTCAACGCAGGTTTGTGGAGCAAAATACATGTGAGTGCATCTTCAAGGCAAAAAAGCAGATAATCAATTCTTTTTGGAGGTATGACACAGCTTGACCAATGCAGCTGTTTAACGTTTTTGGATGTGTGCCTACCTAAAAAAATTCGGGAGCTAAAAAGTGCTTTAATCAGTAAAAACTCCAGGTGGACCTATAATTTTGGCCAGCCTTCAAGCCTGCTTTTTTCAAAATTTCTAATTTTTTCTTGAATAATTAAACGAAAACGAGAACCGTTTTACAGACTGATAGTAGGCTGGTAAACACACGTCTCTACCAAATTTTGGAAAATTTCATTCACAATAGAGTGAGTTATGGCAATTTTTAGAGTGGACCTATAATTTTGGCCAGCACTGTATAAGGCAGCTACTGTTCACATAGTGATAGAAAAGGCAGAAGATCATTTGTCATTGACAGGCATTCATTCTTGTTATCAATGCTTGGGCTCTTTAAAGAGATCCACAAAGCTTCCAGTATCTTTCGTGCAGAAATTTCTGTCTCGTACGCCAGGATAAAACATTTGACCTCAAACTCAGCTCCGTCATGTGCTTCAAATCTGTGCTTTCCCAACGTTTAAAATGAGGAGACTGCGCGAAGTTAGGGGTCGTATACCAGCTAGTGTGTACAAGTTGCCTAGCGTCCTATATAGGTGAGACGGGCAGAGCATTGAATATCAGGGTCAAAGAGCATTAAGCAAACAAGAGACGAGGGAAATTGGTATCACCGTTGGGAAAGCTCAGATTTGAAGCATATGACGGAGCTGAGTTTGAAGTCAAATGTTTTATCCTGGCGTACAAGACAGAAATTTCTGCACGAAAGATACGATACTGGAAGCTTTGTGGATCTCTTTAAAGAGCCCAAGCATTGATAACAAGAATGAATGCCTGTCAATGACAAATGATCTTGCCTTTTCTATCACTATGTGAACAGTAGCTGCCTTATACAATACCACTCACATAACTTGCAAAATTTCCGTGAATATCGCGAAATTCCCGAAATTTCGCGGAAGTTCGCAACATCCCCGCAATTTCGCGAACTTCCGGGAATTTCGCGGAATTTTCGGAATTTCGCGAAATTCACGGATATTGTATCTGGCTAACAAATGATAAAACGGTAATTTTCTCATCTGCTGCTAGCATATGAACATTAGAAACAGGTTGTGAATGTTTTCATCCAAATCTTCATGCTGAAATGATCTATAAGCTTTTCCACACTTATGACACTGCCATACAGTTATGACAGCGGAATGTGAAAATTCTCGGTGAATTCGGCGATGTCGGCGAATTCGGCAAAATCAGCGAAAAACGCAAAGTCGCCGACTTCGCCGACATCACCGAGAATTTTCACATTCCAAAGTCATAACTGTTCGAATGCATGTATGAAGCAAATCTTATAATTTCCGCTTACATAGATTCTCGACGTACTAACAACATTTCTTACATTATTTTGCTGCTGGTGGCACATTATCGGATAGAATATTTACCAAATTACACGACTTTCGAATGTGAAAGACAATTCATGAGAAGGCGATTTTGTAACATCATAATCTGATGAGCAATACAGATAAAGATCTGTGCTAAGCATGGTCCGGTAGAGGTGTTCACAATTTGAACTCACAAAAATACGCCGACAATTTTCGCAATAAATAGGCAAAAAGTGCAGGCAAATTTGCGATTTTGATGGGTTAAGCCACTTCTATCTTAATTTAGCCTTGCTGTATGACTCTCTAGTGCAAAATAAATAGGATTTTTGTGAAGATCGGGACCAAAAACCACTATGAGCGAAGTTTCCGGTCAATCCGAGAACCTCAATATTTTGACTAAATCTTGCGCCGAGGCCAAGAGTGAGGAGCGAGAAAAAATCAAGTGCTACTAGTTCCTTAGAAAATTAAAATAGATGTTATCCGACCCTTTCATTACAGAAAACATATCTGATTAGCGAGATAGCTTCTTTCTGTAGGACTACGGTGGATAGATTTTAAAGAAATGTGGATTTTTTTCGAAATTTGCTAGCTCCGCCCACTTTTGGCTCCGCCCACACCCAGGTCTCCGCCCTCTTCTCCCCTACCTCCCCATTCCAACCCATCCATGCCTGGGCCACTATCCCGCCACTAACCACCAATGAACCACTTCTGACCGATTTGTATATAGAGATCAAAGATCAAATTAAGAAAAACTATTTATATGTAGAGATCAAAGATCAAATCAAGAAAAACTATCTCCAGATGCTATAGGGTATCGCCCTTTCACAATCATGCTGCTGCCCAACTTTCTTCACCAGTTGATAGTTTTCTTCACCAGTTTTTTCGTATTGTTACTATGCTAGTGCCTTGATCATTCTCCTGAAATTATTATTTTATTCTGATCTATCATAAAATTCCCCGAAAAATTTCTAAGTCCGGAACCGTTCTTAGATCAGCTTCTCGTGTATTCAACCTCCGATTTTTCCGTTAATTTTCTGGTTTAGCTCTTTCGAAAATAAACACAAATATCGGTATCCGGGCACTTTGTCCCTATTTTCCATAAAGATATGCATAAAAACTTTACCTATTTTATAAATCTCCGTTTACAAAAGAGCTCAAAGCCCGCTTCTGTCATAGAAAGAAAAAGATTACAAAAATACACATAAATGACTATCTAGCATTTGCTTATCAGCGCTAGTCGCAGTGATATGAGGTCAATCTCGCACCTTAATCAGCAAATCTCGCACTTCCAGCTGTCAATCACAATACCACTCACAAAACTTGCAAAATTTCCGTGAATATCGCGAAATTCCCGAAATTTCGCGGAAGTTTGCGGCATTCCCGGAATTTCGCGAATTTATGGGAATTTCGTGGAATTTTCGGAATGTCGCGAAATTCACGGAAATTTTGCACATTCTGTGAGCGGTATTGTATATAGACGTGACACACCGATTGACACTCAGTGTCGTCCGTCCGCAACATCTCTGCGGCTATCGTCCGCTGCTTCCTGCGGACCCCTAACATCTTCATCACGGTGGATCAACGGTTGGTCTTTCTGCCAACGTGCCTCTCTGTACGTTGTGCATAAGACGAGGAGACTCGATAAGTACGGAGATGACGTTTGGCGGCGTAGTTTCACAGGTCAGGACTGCAATCATCTTTCAGACCTCCGAAGAAGACGACCTTGTCGAAACGTTAGGTCAATAAAGATCCCACCGTACCAATCTGGACTTGGCAGAACATCTATTTCTGTTACAAATTACGAAATAACTTTGAATAAACCCCAATCTTTTCGTGTAATTTTTCCGAAAGCCTTTACTTTGGCAAATGCGTTTGATACACGAACATATGAAACTGACAAATTTTCGGATTTTGAGAGTTTCAAAATGATTAGTATCAAACATTAATTTTGCAAAGCAAGCGAGCTTTCCCACCTTCGATATATTGAATTTTGAAATTTGGACACAGCCAAAAATAGGCTCAAATTTACAGTGGATGATTCATCTCCGCAACTTTTACAAATGGGAAGAATAACGCATATTAGAAAGAGGAGGAAAAGCTGCATCGAAAAGTGCTCGAAATGCCTGTCGTTTGACAAGATTCTGTGAGGTTTGGCTGAACCACATATGGGATTTGTTAATATCAGAAGTATAGTTTTGGTAATTTTGAAAAACCAGTTGGAGACCCCAAAAAAACCACAGTGCTGCACTTTGCTTATCTATCCAGCAACTAAATAAACTTCCAGAATTTCAAAATGACAAATGTGAGAGTTGCCAAAGTCGGGCATAGTAAAAACCATGGATTCAAAACCTCTGCAATCATCTTGGTAGCCACATGAGCAAATGGTCTCAGAACATGACTGCTGTAAAGAGAAAAAAAGCTGCGTCAAACGGATTTGAAGCGTTTGGTTATCATTACTAACTGTTTCTATGATAGATCGAAAAAACGGAAAATAACTGTGGGAACTACCTAATATGATAAGCAGAAGGGACCACATGTATACCCGTAACTCATTGACCCAAAATCCGCTATTAAGCCATGGTATCTGTAGCACGCAAGACACTATAAACTGACATCTGGGATGGAGGAACGCAGTAAAAAGGAGTTTGTGAACTTAGAAGAATTGGGAAATTTATTGAGACTGAAGCACTTGTAACCATTGATTCAGCTGGCATGGATTCGGGAAGGCGGGGCTTTGTTTAATTAAGGCCGCTCGTGCCCGCGCCGCAAATGTGTCTCTCTCGCGCGAGTGCTCTCGATCACTGCTTAGCCTTAATTAGGTCACGAAGCCCAGCCTTCCCGAAGCCAATCCAGTTGAATCAAATGGTACATAAAACACGTACATGAGTCAAACTGCATGAACTTTTACTTCATCCAATATTTTGTTGCAGGGCTGCAGGGTTCCAAACTTTCAAGAATTCCTACAAGTCCCAATGCTCAAAAATAAAAAAAAACTTTCCTACAGTACAAAGATCTATCCAGTAAACAAAGATAAAGTTGCTTGTTTTCGATGCTCTTTATTTAATGGAAGGACATATCTGATTCGTTAATGACTTTCGTTCTATCCCGTTCTACTGCAAGCAGAAGTAGCTCTCGTATCGAAATTGAATCGAATTTATCGAAGTTACAATAATCTGAAATGAAATGCACATTATTGATCGATCAACTCTCTCACAGTTGTGTCAAAACATGATGGGACTTAGAGTAGTTAATGTTAATTGAAGCAATCGAGGTTCCGATTTGCTTTCTGAGCATGACGTCATGTTTCTAGAATATGTTAAACATGTTCGCGTTCGTCCTCCTCTTGTTTTTGGTGTGTTACAACGCCAATGCTGCACCTCAATCTCTACAACGAATTCGAAATCAAGTAAGAATGTCAAATCTAATCAAAAAGATTAGGAAAATTCTGGCGTATCTCATGACTTTCTTTACAGTGCATCGCCGGTTGCTATGAGGATATTCCTGAATGGGCAATACCCAGCTGCGTACGGCGTTGCAAAAAAAACTGGGCAGCATGGGGCCATTAAAGACACCGCAATGCACAGTGTCCGTTCAAATAAAAATCATGCAATCATGTACTCAATGGACATGCGATCTGCAGACATCATATAACTTTAAGTGCTAACTCCTCAGACAAGGCGTCCAAACGAGTCCCAATGTATTACAGTAGTGGGGCATGTAGCTAAGAGCCACCATAACATCTCCGCCTGGGAGGGGACTACAGCTTCAGAAAAAAGCTTCATATCCTGAAGTTCCAGGAATCTGAATTTTACGCTTTCACGCTCTCTATCTATTTGTTCTAAACGAGTCCCAATGTAATACAGTAGTGGGGCATGTAGCTAAGAGCCATCATAACATCTTCGCCAGGGAGGGGACTACAGCTTCAGAAAAAAGCTTTATATCCTGAAGCTCCAGGAATCTGAATTTTACGCTTTCACGCTTTCTACCTATTTGTAAGTATTGCTACCATTCTTCACTATGAACATATTGAACTGGAGCGGAAAGCTGTACAAGCCGCATTTAACAGCTTTTTGTATGATTCCCAGATGATCCGCGATGACCGATTGTCTTTTATTCAAAGTCATTTTTCTTTCTTCAAAATTGACGAAAACCTTCCAATGCTGTACCGTTTATCTAACACAACAATGCTAAGCATGTTGCTGTCAGAATACATGAGTTTTCCAAAAAACGAATTTTTCGATAAACCCCAAGTTTCGACTTGTGGTTCATCGCAATTTTCATGACTTCGATACAACATTTGTTCTTACCAGCAACATGCTTAGCACTGTTGTGTCAAATAAAGAGTGAAACTTTAAAAGGTTTTCGCTAACGTTGAAGGAAGAAAAATGACTTTGAATAAAAGACAGTCGGTCGTCGCGGATCATCATACAAAAAGCTGAAAAATGCGGCTTGTACAGCTTTCCGCTCCAGTTCAATATGTTCATAATGAAGAATGGTAGAAATACTTAAAGGTAGGTAGATAGCGTGTAATTCAGAAGTTCGGAGCTTTAGGATAAAGCTTTCTTTAAAGTTCCTTTTTCCTCGTCGGGGATGTTAATGAATGCGGTCCTAAGTGATTGTTTATTCAGCTGCTATTCTTTGCACCGAAGCAAGAAAATTCTGTCAAACATAAATAGTCCGTTTTCACCGGATAAACATATAAGAAGTGCACTAAAAATTTGATAGGTGTCGCGAAAATTTCTTGTCGTGTAATTTCCTAAGTTTTATGAAATTGATGCTTGTTCTTCCAAATCTTTTTCTACTATTTTATTCCATCCAATTTTTCCAGATAGATTTTGCGTACATAAAAGTTCTTGCATGTGATTTACAATTTAAGCAAGATTTTAACTTCATCTGCCAGTAAAAAAATGAAGATTTGCTTTCACAAAGCCAAGAGTTTATTGCAATCGTATATCTGGCCGAAATTCAAGCGCAGTTTAGGAAGCCTAGCTACTGCTAGCGATGATATCGTCGCTCATATTCTGACTTAGTAATCGGTAATCAATCTAACAGAGTTAATCATATTACTGAGTCAGCAAAAGCCTTGTCAGTTTTTACAACCCACCCGCAACCGTCACGTGAAGCTAAACAAAATATGAGCCTCATCGTACGGAGCAAATTAATATCTCCTAGCGCTGTGATCGGAGATACGACTCTTCATCACCATGTCTGAATTTTGCTACTTTTTCGCTTCTCCAATACTTTGGAAGAAAATAACCAGCAGATAAGACGAACCGTTTGCCAAAACAATGCAATTCTTTGTTCTTTCTAGATTCGATTTTAGGTTTTTGATGAACAATACTGTAACAGCATTGCTTTATAAAATCACATAACACCTAGTTGCAATAAACACTGCGGAAGCTTCGGAAACCTGCTTTTTTAGAACTTAGTGAGCCACTATGCTTTGGAATAGAAAAATTTGAAACCTAAGGTGTAGCCGTGCGCACTCGTAAAATTGAGAAATACACCATCATCGTCGAATTTTGATTGTATTCCGAATAAAGATAACCTTTGATGAGATTAGATAATGACGCACCATCGAACAAGATGCAATATGCAAGCTGCTTACTAATTCATGCTTTACGAGGTTTAAATAGATTGCCTTATGAATTGCGGTATTTTCGGATTAAATATTCAGCGAAGTCATAACCAAGACAGAGGTCTAACAAAATTTGCATTAACTTGCAAAAGGTTTGTTCTACTTGCTGGCCATCAAAGCTCATCTAAGAGTCTCAAACATATTTCTGAAGATTATCGAACATTAGACATGGTAAAAATGAAGACTTGTTCATTGTAGGATCCTTATCTTTTAAAAAGAGAGGTCCGTTCAGTCGAAGTGGCCTTTATATGTGACTCCTACTTTGAAGAGCAATGAAAATGGTTTCAAATCTGTTTTCGTTATCTGCCAGATGCTTTTGGACGCCGAGTTATAAGCGTTTCTAAGGTTGAAAAATGGAATAAGCAACTTAAAGATTCGTCAATTGTTCAAATTCAGTGTGATTCCCAAAGCATTTCATTCAATAGGTAACTTCCGTCTAATACTCTTGTACTCAACACTGCTCTACTTGATCCTCAGGGAACCCCCTCAGAGCCTCTCATGTTTTTGCTCTTCTTAAATAATCTACCATTATGCTTTCCCGTCGCTATCACCTGTTCCACTTATGCAAATATCAAGCTCTCGTGGTATAGGCGTTTCCCATGCGTATAGCGGGCGTGGCCGTGCAGAATTTGAACACGTTGAAAAACTTGTTGAACCTCCAATCTAAAGCATTAGTTTTTGTGCTCTCTAGTTGCCAAAAACTGCCACGCGCATACGTTGGCAAACGTCGGCAAAGCTCCGCCCGCTATAGAGTGGGGAAAGGACGATATGCCCCTGAACTGAGCAAAAAGCTTTAGTTGCGGTGAATGGATGGTCTAAGAAGGAAAGGATACTCGGTGACAGCGGCCATTAGGAATGGGATGTATACCGTAAGATGCATATCGAAACGATCATTCTGAATCTGTGCTCGATTTTAAGGAAGTTATGAACTTTTTTGTAGGACATTTGCGTAGTTTTTATATTTAAAATCATCAAATTTGTTCTAGGTTACCGTTTGAAGGTAATGAAAAGATTTTTGAAAGGAATGCTGTAGTATTACGGCTATCTAGATAACATTCAGCATTTGAAGGAAAGAAAAATTTTTATTAACACATTGACGACTGCTTGACACACATGGTGTGTCATGCAATGACTACCGCGTGGGACCGCTTGACACACCATGTGTGTCAAGGCTTGAATTTTGGTAAAATGATTACTTTCCTGAAATAAACTCACTCCATGAGCTTTCTTTTGCACAGAATCTAGTGATGTCTTCCACCTTTTTTGTGAGCTTTTCAGATCTACTGTAGGTGTATTGTAAATGGCAGTATGCGTCAAAGTTGAAAAAGTGGGCTGGTCCGTAAGAAGGCCTTGGTCTCAGAAGGCAGACAACTAAAAATCTGCATGGACGCCAATGTGTTAATGATTTTGACCCTCCGCAGTAGCGCAATTTATTCATGAAGAAACAATCATAACTCCATCCAGGTTATCGTTTCGCAGATATGGAAGACAGTTTTTGAACCAGCATTATAAGGCGCATTTTTGATATAAAAGTCATTATGAATGGCCACGGTCAACAAGTATTCTTCCCTTAAGAAGCGGAAATTTGATATTTCAGAAGAGGAAACATATATCACTTTTATTGAAGCTAAACAGTGACGGCCCTGCATTTGGTGCACTGGAAACCAAGAGGTTTAAGTGACAAATTCTTTGAACTTGGCTTATCTATTCAGGCAACCTCAGCTTTGATGACTGCTTAATGAAATCACAAAAATTACAGCTCAGCGTAATCATACTACCCGCTCTCTGCCGCGACGCGGCACGGCTGGTACTCGGCAGCTTCGCTGCTCCGTAAATATTTCATTTTACTCCAGGTTGCTGAATTTGCAGGAAATTTGCCGTTTTGTGCGGATCACTTTCATTTATAACCTGCGCAGAAGGAATAACCGAGTACATGATTTCCGCTTTTTCAGTGTTTTGATTCAAATTCTAACATAAGCAAAGGATAATGCAGTTGAAAAAAATCAATAAATCGATCAAAGAATCTGTGTGTCCCATCAAAATGGCTTAATAACATCTCACCCTATAAATTATGTACACCAAACTTGTTTTAGATTGCATAACTGAAACTAAACAGCGACGGCCATGCATTTGGTGCACTGGAAACCAAGAGTTTCGAGTGACGAATTCTTTGAACTTGGCTCATCTATTCAGGCAACCTCAGGCTTTGATGACTGCTTAATGAAATCACAAAAATTACAGCTCAATGAAATTATACTTCCCACTCTCTGCCGCGACGACAGATATTTGAAGTCTGGACATGAAGCATTCATTTGAGCTGCGATTCCCCCCCCCCCTCCCCCGGGGAGTGAATGTTAATGCATTTGGCCAGCGTCTCCATACTTCCGGAGCCTCTTGAAAAGGTTTGACGAAGACGTATTGTAAAGTAAAGAATATGGCGCAACTTCTTGCTCTGGCAGTGCATTCGTACTTCTTTCAACCAAGTTCACTCAGACAGAAACTTGGTACTGCGAAAAATACTGACTAGACGTGTAAAAGTGCGTCAAAGGAAAGGGGTCAAGCTTCTACTCTATGCCAATGCTTTTGTGTTTTTTTTTAGATTTCATTGTCATGCCATTCCCGAACGTTCCGTGAAATTTAATGCTTTAGCCGAATTTATTGCTGGGTGTTTTAGCGTATCGAATTTATGTTTGGAAGCTTTGATCCCTTTCCCAAGGTTTTTCAATTGCTTCAGAACGTCCACCATGCCGATACATACATCAATGCAATCACCAATTTCCTATACCAAAAATTGAAAATACTGCGATTTTATTGGAGTTCCCCACATAAATAAATGCTGAAGCGCTCCTCAGCATTACACTCTCGTTTCTTTGAAGTTTTTATTATGCTTTAATCTATTTCAAAAAAAGTTTCAAAATCGTTAGGTAACAGAGAGCTTCTTCTTTTCATTCCATCGGTAGCACAAAGCTTAAACGCCTTTTCAGGCAATAAAGTTTAACTACGATTAGAAGTT